TTCCTTCCTTCCTTCCTTCCTTCCTTCCTTCCTTCCTTCCTTCCCTCTCTCCCTCCCTCCCTCCTTATCTACCCTCCATCCATCCTCATGATTGAAGATGTATGTTTAAAAGTAATTTTAAAGACCACCGACATAATTTAAAGAAACAGGTTTTCTTAAAGGTTCGGATTGGTGGAAAACGTGGGCTCCTGCTAAAAGAAATAAACCTTTCCCGCCATATCTCAATCTTTCCCAGAATTCTCCTATACATATTAAAGGTCTTGTAGCTTTCGGTATCACAATGTCCTCCTTGCCATCTTCTGGAGTTTGATTCCACCACCACCCCTCCTCATGTGCTGCTCACATTTCCCATTCCCTTAAGTCTTCTGGCTTGCTGGTTTCTTTCCTCAATGCAGGCAGGATTCGAACCCGCCAACGGGTCAGAGGATTCTGGGCACCACAGGGGCGGGTCACTTACCTCGTTTGATTGCTTCCCACTGTAAGACATTTTCTTGATGGCCACCACTTCGTTGGTGCGCACATCCCGTGCCTGCAAGACCAAAAACACAAAAAGTTTGGTACCTTTTGATATCAATATCTAAGGCGTTGCCACAAAGAAGAGGGGGGTCAGTTTATTCTCCAAACCCCCTGAGGGCAGGAGAAGAAGCAATGGATGGAAACTCATCAAGGAGAGGAGCAACTTGGAATGAAGGAGAAACTTTCTAACAATGAGGACAATCAACCAGTGGAACGGCTTGCCACCAGAAGTTGTGACTGCGCCATCACTGGAGGTTTTCAAGAATGAATGAATGTACGAATGAATTCTTTTATTGGCCAAGTGTGATTGGACACACAAGGAATTTGTTTTTGGTGCAAATGCTCTCAGGGTACATAAAAGAAAAGATACTTTCATCAAGAGTCAAGAATCATCAGGTGCAACACTTAATAATAGTCATAGGGTACAAATAATAAGGGATCAAATCATACCAGGAAACAGTCCATATAAATCGTAAGGATACGAGCGACAAAGTTACAGCCATGCAGTCACAAGTGGGAAGGGATGGGCGATACGGAGTGATGAGAAGATTAATAGTGATAGTAATACGGAAGAAGAGATTGGACAGCCATTTGTCTGAAACAGAACCTCCTGCTTGAGCAAGGGTTTGGACTAGAAGACCTCTGAGGTCCCCTCCAAGTCTGTTTGTTATTCTGTTATGAAAAGTGTGTCATCTTTTTCCCTTTCCCTCCCTTCCTTTTTTCCCTTTCTCATTTTCCTCATCTTTTCCTCTTTCCCATTCTCCTTCTTTCCTTGTCAATTAAGTTCCTTGTCTTATGTGAAGGTTCAATTAAGAAGTTGTTGTTGTTGTTGTTGTTGTTGTTGTTGTTGTTGTTGTTGTTGT